AATAAATTATATGTTTATTACATATTATTTTATGCAAATAATTAATATTAAGAAACTGAAAATAATCTGAAAGTAAATTCTCCTTAATTGACGCTCCGATTGTACACAAAAATGGACAATTTTTTATAGTTGCCGATATAAAAACGAAACGCAATAATCAAATAATCGTATCTTNAATAAATTATATGTTTATTACATATTATTTTATGCAAATAATTAATATTAAGAAACTGAAAATAATCTGAAAGTAAATTCTCCTTAATTGACGCTCCGATTGTACACAAAAATGGACAATTTTTTATAGTTGCCGATATAAAAACGAAACGCAATAATCAAATAATCGTATCTTCTCTTCCCAAATTGTCCATTTTTATGCACAATCTAGGCGTCAATTAGGGACAATTTACTGTATTCTCAAATTCGTTTCATGATTTATCATTTCGTATTTCATCTTCTCATTTTAATCATAAACGCATTATACAGCCTATTCTGTTACGTTTAGTTCTTCTACAATCGCAAATATTTTTGTTAACACTAGATTCACGGAGCCCATCAAAATGACAGGTTACTAATTTTTTAATTTACGATTATTCATATCGTAAAGATATATTTATGTGTTATTTATTCAATTTATATGTTACTTACGGCAAATGTTACAATAACACTGTATAAAAAAGAGGATAAATGTCTTATTGTTACTTTTATAAACTAATATAAAACAGCTTTTTTTTGTGTCCCGTAAATCTAGTGTTAAGAAATCTAGTGTCACCCTGTATGGCTTCGAAAATTAATGTTGATCAATATTGTCGTCGCTTCTCTCGCTAAACGTGATTACGACGACTCCGTGTCACACCAAACAGTGTCAGTGAAAACTCTGTCGTTAAGTCGATAAGAAATAATTTATTTATTAATTTAATAATTTCATGTCAATATATATGAATTCAAAATTGTTTAAAATAAATTAAATTATAAGTATCAGTTTACATATTAAAATAAATTAAATTATAAGTATCAGTTTAAATATTAAAATAAATTAGTTTATTTACATGTAAATCCCCATAAATTTGTTTCTTGTTTTATGTAGTATCTACTCATTTTTATCGTAAACGTGTCACTGTTCTTCATTAATAACTCGTAAACCCCTCGGAAACCCCTCATTTCACGATTTTGAGTAACTTTTGATAGACCCTGTATATAGAAGAACTTTGATTTTTCATGTCATCTATTTTTATTGGAACTTGGAAGTATGAAAACTTTTTGCAAAAAGTACTACATACACGTAATAAATTGCATTGTAACTTACAAAAAGTTCCGGAACTTTTTCTAACTCTGATCTCTGTATTTCCATACAGCGGATAATAAACATACCGGGTGTTCAAAATTTTAATGGTCGTATGTTATTGGGTATTAAATACTTCACTGGTTGTTAAATAAACAGAGTTCTTCCAAAGCTTTATTAATACCTTGAGTGCCATGTCAGCTACATGCGACTGACACAATTTTTTTATCAAGCTTAAAAATTAATTCTTATTGCAAGCTATCACGTAATCTAAACTTTCCTGGAATACGTATATAAACTATAACAAGATAGCAAAAAAAATTGTTATAGTAAATCTGGTTTCTCCAAGTTTCATAAATTGACACAAAGTATAAATTGATTCAAGCTCACTGTATGAAACACACATTATTAAAAATGTTATGTAAATCAAATTTCATCTCTTCTAATTACCTTGATGAAATGAAATAAATACAAAAAGTAGTTATTCCGATGGACACCAGATCTACACTAAGAATACCAAAGTATTCTTTTATGGACACCAGTGTAGCAGTTAACATATAACATAATTAAAAGAACAGTAACAGAGTTACGGTTACTGCGATGTAGTATAAAAATAGATCAGCTATATTTCCTCATGAGAATTGTTCGAGTCAACCTCACAAGTATGACACACTGTTACGCAGTAAAGATAGCTCGTATAAACAGAATAAACAAATATTGTTATCTTATTACCATAGCTTTTTTTTAAAGATTTAAAAGACCCATATACTATATCAATATAACGTAATATAATGCTTTCTTCTTCTTTCAACACATACAATACACATACTGATAACATCTGACCATTAAAATTTGGATCATACTGTACATTACAGGATCACGTTGTATATTATGCCATGCTACGTTTGCAATAGAGCCAGCCATAAAAATTCTGACTAGTTTCGAATACTTGTGACAAAAAAACCACAATTTTTGCCATTTCATAAATAGTCATTTGTGATTTTGGATTCTGGCATTCATACTTTATATTTGTTTAACAACTGTAGCTCACACTATAAACGGTTTTTTTTCTGGAAACTAGTTTTCCGTATATGGTTAACCCAAGTGAAGAAAATTATTTTTTAACAGACCTAAGTAAAAAAAAATGTGTAACTTAATGATAGTATAATGAAAACATTTGCAAGTTTCAGACTAATTAATGCAATTAATGTAAGGTAATTAAAGGCTCTAGATTACGATTATGTTATAGAAAAAAGACATATTAATTTTTTGATTTTTTCAATTGCTCGCATCACTGTGCGACGTCGCACAGTGGCACCGATTAGAGATAACGTGACTAACCGTGATTTATCGCTGTGATCACATAATCACGACCACAATCGTACACGGTTGTTCCGATTCAAGTTCATTTACAACTGTGATTGTGATCTTTTGTTTTTACTGAATTTACGACACGTGATTACATCATACGGTTCATTCGATCTTAAAACTTGATGGATAAAATATTTGTAATAAAATGCTTGTAGTGAAAATATATAGTGAAAATCTGCACGCAATAAAATACTTTTAAACTAAAAATGAAAGGTAACAAAAAATTTTGCTCTCTTATTATCCTATACCATTCCAACCTTTTAAGAAGTAAACTTAATTCTTCATCCCGATTTCACAATAATAAATATTAATAGATATTCATTTAAATAATCCATAAAAGTGCAAACAATTTCTTGTATATACTGTACGTGTATATATACATGCTATTTAAATCAGTAGAAAGAAGAAATTTTAAAAGAATGATTTTCCTATAATTAAAAAATATTATAATTATGTTAACAGCCGGAAAGGGGTGATTCCCGAGGTCATTTAACGTAACTTTTTCCTTAGCGAAAATGCAATCCGCGGCTTTGTTTATGAGTTATTAACGAAAAATAGTGACCAATGGAACGCGAGATCAGCTGACTCGTGGCGGCTGAGCCAGTGAGCGGAACTGGACTTCGTGCGCTCGTTGGCTATGCCACCTTGCGCCAGCCGAGCTCGCCTCTCATTGGTCAGGGTTTTTTGTTAATAACTCGTAAATAAAGCCGCAGATTGCATTTTCGTTAAAGAAAAAGTTACTTCGAATGACTGCTGGAAACTCCCCAGTTCCGAATTGCATGACATTTCTGGGACACCTTGTATAACGATGATTGTACATACCGAAGCCCTCTGTTCTTGGTTAAGGTCGAATGGCTGTATCACCGTGAAGGGGCTCTTCACTTCTTGATCAAACTTCCAAGGACGGTCCAAAGTCGCTTTGGCGATGTATCGAACGTATCCGAAATCAGATTCAAAGCTGCTCGGTATGTTCGCGGGTAAGACGCACTGAAACGGGAATTTGTGTTCTCCACTTTGCACTTCGATTTCACTGCCTAAACCAATAACAAAATAGATCGTTAAAACAACATTTTCGTTATCCGACAAATACAGGGTGAGACATTTAAGCGAGAACACCTGGATACATATCTCTGTTAGTGTTAGTCGTATAAACAAATTTTAAACGATAAAGTTATGCTATCTCAAGTGACTATAATTTATTGACGAAAGATATTTTTTTCTCAAGATCACTATTTTTACAATATTTCAAGGTCAATGATTTCTATTTAAATGGAAGCATATATATTTCGTTTACATTCTTATAATGATATTAAAAAATATCTCAAAATAAAATGAGCAATTATGATAAAGATGGCGGATACTGGCTTCAAGATTGTTAAAAAATAACGGTTAGTAATGTAATTTTTTTTTATAACATCGGAGTATCTTTTATCATTTTATTTTATTACACAGGATTACATTTATTACACAGGTCCCATAATTACGTTAACACCCGGAAAGGGGTGATTCCTGAGTAAAAATGCAATCCACGACTTTGTTTACGAGTTATTAACGAAAAACAGTGACCAATGAGAGGCGAGATCAGCTGACTCGTGGCGGCTGAACCAATGAGCGGAACTGGACTTCGTGCACTCGTTGGTTATGCTGCCTTGGACCAGCTGATCTCGCCTCTCATTGGTCAATATTTTTCGTTAATAACTCGTAGGCAAATTCATGGATTGCATTTTTGCTAAGAGAAAAATTACTTCAAATGACCTCAGGCATCATCCCTTTCCGGGTGTTAACATAGTTATGGGATACCCTGTACAGTTTCGCGATTCTTTCGTGGAGTTGTGTCGGTTGGAGATGGTTGTTTCCGTTATTGAATTCAAACTCTCTCTTCCGGTTGGCATCTTGTTATGTCAATAAATAATTTAAATAATAAGACGTAAATGAAACCAAGTTTATTATTGTACGATTTCCACTTTAAAAATTATGATATTTTAAACGATAATAATATTTTAAAAACTCGGGAAAATGTAAATTATTTTTTGGTATCACTATATGTATTATACACGGGATGGCACATAACTGTCGTCACGACTTTTCAAGTACTTTCGACAATTTGACAGAATAATGTTTCGATTAAAAGGTAAACAGTATTTAGTCAGCTATATTGGAATGTCGTTGCGTATCGCCTACAATGGCATTATTGTCCGCGAGCAAAAACAAATCAATATTCTCAGAACCGTTTGAAAGAGAGACAAGAAAGTATACATTGTATCAATGCTCGGACTTATGGGACCAAAGCATAAACAGTCTCAAGTTACGAGGTTACTCGAGTTTTCTTTTCGAGGTTCCGAAGTCAATTGCTGCAAAAGATTCATACAGTAAAGAATTTCCAGACATGCCGTAAAATACAGTTTCTTCTTACAAGAATATTAAAGTGCATTTAATAAGACAACCATTTCCCATAGGCTACATACTGAAAAATTACAAATTTCAAAAACTATTGTTTTTATACTAAAAGTCATGGACACCTTTACTTTTTTAAACGGCACCCTGTATTTTTGACTTCGTAAGGTTATCCCTGATGAAAATATGGATTCAACGACCTGCTGTACTATGGCCTTCAGATGACCTTTACTTCAGCCATTTAGGATTGAACAACAAAAGCGTTAATATCGAAAGCTTATCGAAAAGTTGTGAGTACAATTCCAGTCATGCAAGCAAATTATGACTAGCTCTAAATGTCAACATAACTTAACATGAGATCGTTGAACCAATAAAAGTTTCGAAATAATTGTTATATTATATATCCATTACAATTGTTATATTTAGTCTAGATATAATCTCCATTGGTTTAGAGAACATAATTTTCAAGAAAAATTTATAATAAACAATCTCTGTTGTTCAAACCTAAATTGTTGAAGTCAAGATCATCTGAAGATTATATTACAGCAAGTCGTTGACTTCATTTGTTCATCACCAATAACCTTATGAAGGCAAAAATACAGGGTGCCATTTTAAAAAAGTCAAGGTGACTTTGACTTTTAGTAAAAAAGAATAATAATTTTTGAAATTTGTTATTTTTCAATATGTAGCCGACTAAATGCTGATTAACTTTCATTCGAAACATTTTTTTCTCAAACTGTCGAAAGTGCTTAAGAAATCGTGAAGACTGTTATGTGCCACACCCTGTATAAAACACTATATAACTTTTTGATTATGTTCGCGTATTTCACCTTTCAAAAATATCAAAATAAAATTAGAGAAAATCTTACCCGAAGCTGATCCGACCAGATAATACTTGGTTTCGAAATACTCTTCGTGGGCCGTCACCGTCTGCGTTCCCTCTCTGTACTGTCCTCTCTCGTCCATTTCTTGTTTGTCCGTTGTCCAACAGGTGTCTGCGAAACCTTTCACCTTCACGCTAATACCTGTGGAAATATTATTTATTAAATGACTTTAGACGAACAGTAAAAGTAGAACACACAAAAGAGTAAAGTAGAACAATTATATCAAATTCAGACAGACTTTTATTTGGGGAAAGTGGTCTCTTTTCGACTAAATCGAACTTCCATTTTTTTGGGTTACCATTTTTTGTTACCATTGGGATTATATAACTCTGTTTTACTTGTTAGTATTAAGCGCATCCACATTTTTCTAAAAATAGTTTGTTTACGTAAGGAGACTTGTTGACAATACAAATGCTAATGCATCATTCATAACTATGGTTCGATCGCTATGAATCTCGTGTTTGACACTAACGATTTTATGTATGTTCGTTTTTATGTATGTGCGTGACAAAGTCTTATAATAAAATTTATATTATTATTATAATTACGCCTCTTAATAAAAACCCGATAGGAAAGTATGCACCAAAGAGAAGACTCGACATAAAACTATACAGTGGTGCACGGTTAAATTTACATGAAATTCGTACTGTTAAATTTACACGACCTTTCCACGACCCCCTCATCCACCATCAGAGTGGCTACGAAAAAGCTAGGTTCTCCCACCGCACCTTATGCCCCGAAATTCTCTACGAATTGCATCCCTTCCATCCCTCCAGTGATGTTGTAGAGGGGCACCATATACAGTAATGTCTCCCTAAATGACGTGGTGCTATGGCGCAACACGTGAGTTGCGGCACACAACGCGGTTCCTTTGACTCGAATTCTTGGAAGACATCTCATAATACAATGACACAACTATTTTCAATTTTAATATTTACAAACTGATATTTTTTTAACATAATGCTGATAGTTCTCTGATTAAAATGAGACTAAACATGATGTAGTTTGGACAGATATTTCTAATTACAATAAAATCAAACACTTTTAATTGATTTAATTTCGATTACATTTATTTCTTTAATACTTAATATGTAATTCATCTTATTCTATTATCGCTGTGATTATATAAGTCATATATATATATTGTCATATATATTAATAATGACTGTATATTAAAAAGCTGCATTAATACTATACATAATTATGCATATATGTACTAAGTAGATAAGTGAAAAGTTATATTCTATATTAAACTTTTGTGGCGTATCATCTTTAGAATCATGTAGTATCGTGGTCTACGGTTTTCTAATGGTTTTTTAATGGTTTTCTTCTATTTCCTAATAACAAATAACGTAAAAAAGAAATTAATTTGTAAATAATTTATATTCAAATTGGTTGTAAATTTTCACCATTGCATGTATACGTATTTACTTATTTAATTTTTGTTGTCCAAGAAAAATATTTTTATTCTCTGCATCATGCATTGTATGCAAGCTGGTGCTTTTTCATTGTAACATATCAGTCTCTCAAATGTTACACGTAATTCATTGTTTCCAATTTCGTTATTGCTAGATTCATAAATTTATTGTGGCTCTTCTTGAAATTCTGCCGTTTCTTCTTTTATTTCTATATCTTCGTCCTCTCTTTCTGCTTTCTCACAATTGAATAAAAATTATCTAACATTTGCCGGAGTGCATTGTTCTCCTGTGATCTCACTTATCATGCCTTGCCTACCAGGTTCAACCTCTCCTGTTTTCGACTGAATCGAACTGTACTAGCAGGATTAATATCTCTTTGCGTAATATTCGACCAGGATTCGGATAAAATGTCAATGCAGTTTTTTTATTGTGCAGTCGGGGGGGGGGGGGGCATAAAATTCATTTATTCCTCCCTTATACGTTGAAACACGTTGCAGCAGTTTCTGGCGAAAAACTTTTTTTGTTTTCTTTACGATTCCTTGATGCATGGGTTGAAGAATAGATGCTATATTCGGTGGTAAATATACATATAATTTTAAAATCTTCATCTTCTTGTAGCATAACTTTATGGGCTTCACAGTTATCTAACAATAAGATTACTTTCCCTGATCTTTGTTTTTCCTCCTGATATTGTTTTACAGATGGTTTGAAATGATTTTCAAACTAATTTAAAGATAATGTTTTGTCCATCCATGCATTTGCCTGTGATTTAAAAATTACAAGTAATGAAACTTCGTGTTTCAAAGCTCTTGGGTTCTTATATTTGTAAATTACAATAGGCATAATCTTATGTGTGCCTAACGCATTTGCACATAAGCCAATTGTTTTTTGCACATAAGCCAATTTTTTGGTCTTATGTCCATTAAGACTTTTTTTCTTCTTCTCCAGCCAGTGTTTTTGTCGGAAGACCCTTCCATACAAGTTCACTTTCATCCATATTGTAAACATTTTCCGAACTTATGTTTTCTTCTTCTATTATTTTGTTTTTTAAATAAATTAGCGTCCTCACCGTATATCTTTACTAAGCGTATGCCATGACGTCTTTTAAATTTTGTTGACCAGCCACAACTTACTTTAAATAGTGAACATGACGGCAAATTTTCTTTTAATTCCGTCGCCTTTTCTAATATGAAATTTTCGGCTAAACGGTCACAAAGTGTTCTTTTTATGAACCATGCCAATAATTCCTTATCTACTTCATCATATATTGGCTTTGTTATTCTTCTTTGTTATTCTTCGCTTAAGTTCGTATTTACTTTTATGTACAAATTTATGAATTTTTGTAGCATTTTTAAGAACGTTTTTGATTGTTCTAGTGCCAACGCCATATGTATTTCTGTCTAATTTGTTTAGATGATAATCCTGTTTCTCAAAGATCCTTCAAGAAGACTTCCAAGCATTGCTACATACACGTATATGTGTATGCGTCTAGAGTGTGAAACGATTAAACAGAACGATTACTAATAACGATATTAATTGCTACAATTTATATGTATATCAATAATAATAACACTTCACACTAAAAATTAATAATACTGTTAATAAGCTACAATAACACAAAATGATCACTTTCGGTATAATCAAGAAGACCAAACTCAACGACTTACTTCATAATAATGTACACCGGCATGTAAGCCGCTGCCTTTCCAGGTTCAGTAATTTCTCCCTACTTCTCGCTTAGTTTGCGCACAAAAATGGATCATTTGGGAAGAGGAGATACGATTATTCAAGCCTTGCGACTCGTTTTTATAGTTGTTGACAATCGATAACTATAAAAACGAGCAGCAAGGCTCAAATAATCATACCTCCTCTTCTCAAATTGTCCATTTTTGTGCGCAATCTGAGCGCTGGTTAGGAAGAAACTACTGTAGTTTCGTCGACCCAAGTTTCGTTCTTTCTTTCTCTTTCTTTTTCTCTCTCATGAAGTGTCGGCAACTATAAAGGCGAGCCGCGTGTGACCGTCGGTTACAATTCCGACCCCGCGTCATTTAACCCGAGAAAGATAACCTACGTCGCAGAGGCGCCTGCGAAGACTGTTGATTTTTGTTAATTTTTCATAGAGGTCTAGTGATTTAAGTTTAAAATTACTTAAAATATAAAAAAATATAATATAAATGCATTTTATTTTTACAATAATGCCAAACCTTTAAAATGACTAGATTAACTTAAATAAATATCCATTGTTAGTATAAAATTGACGCCTTAGAAAAGCATGCGCCTCTGAAGCGTATGGTTATCTTTTACGTACGTTGTCATATGGTTATCTTTCTAGGGTTAAGGAAACATTACTATAATACATAGAAGAAAAGGTGACGCGTTGGCTGCTAAAGATATGTATGATGGTGTATAGAACGTGGTTAAACTTTAAACGTGCACTATGACCTTTACCCCTTGCGGTACCATTTTCTTTATAGTTACAACGATTAGAAGTTTTTCGATTGTAATAATTTCTTAGAAGAACAAAGTTTATACTTATCGTGTGTCTACATTTACATAAATGTTTAAATACTGATGACAAGAAATCAGAATTTTATCTATCAATCTAAACGGAACGGGATATCATTCATATTTGACAGGTTATTATTAGAAATCTCCATCACGTGTCACACTCGTCAAAGTATGGCAAGGGGTTAATAACCATTAATCAATTAATCCTTACATGTTTTTGACATGTGATGGAATGTAAAAGAAATATAGAAGTGGATTCAAATACGTGTAATATTGAACAATCAAACGAATTAACCTATAAGTGAAGTTCGATCGCAATTATATGAAGAAGCCTCTTTCGAGAGATTACAAATGTAGCATTCCTTTTATACTTGCAAGAAATCACTACGTTTGGAAAAGAAGAAAATTTCCTGCCAGAAATCCCTTGTCGCCTCTCTATGTTTCATTCTGTAAATCTTCGTATCTGTAGAGTATTTAAAATTGCTTAATTATAATAAGGCATTGAAGGAAAGAAGAAAAAAAGTAATTTTTTATCCGGATAGAGTTGTAATCTGTCGAACGAGGCTTCTTCATATAATTGCGATTAAACTTCGCTTACAGGTAAGTTCGTTTCATTACTCAATTACATTTCATTTGCCAAATGAATGTTCGATATCAAATGCAGTTATTTAGATAGGATAACAATTTTAAATGTGTGTGTCAGACTTCATGCATATACATGGTCAGTCGTATAACTTTTAAATTACGCATCTAATTAAAAATTGTCGAATACAAAAGTTGTAGAGTTTTAAGAGGAGGAGGTGACGTGATATTCACTTTTTTGTGTATAGTGTAGCTTTCGTAGGTCAACTTCTTCTTTTTAAATGGAAAGTTACAAATTTCCTTATCGTAGATCAAAACAACATTAAATTTCAAGCCTAAATCTAATGGTTAACGAGATTTTAATATAAGTCGATCATAGGATTTGCAGAAAAAAGATGTTGACCTTGAAATTTCGAAAACTATACTATGTGCAACAAAAATGAATACGTCATCACCTCCTCCTTAAAACTCTACAACTTTCATATTTAACAATTTTTAATTAGATGCATAATCTAAAAGTTATTTGAGATGAGCATATTCTCTTCTTTTTTAATATATAATTTTTATATACGAAATTGTGTACACAATGTATACAAACAGAATTATTATGAAATCCTGAAAATTACTTGGGATATAAATCTCATTAATTATTTTGAATGAAGTATAATCGCTGCAGCAAAATCATAATTATCTGTTAGAACATCCTGCTGTTCTTATTATAGATGAAGTCCAGTTCTGCTCGTTGGTTCTGTCACCTTAAGCTCGCCTCTATATTGGTCACTGTTTTTAGTTAGTAACTTGTAAACAAAGTAGCGGATTGCATTTGCGCTGAAGAAAGAGTTTCTTCAAATGACTTCAGGAACCCCTCATTTCCCGATTTTGAGTAACTTTTGGGACACCCGGTATACACCTCACATAAACCGCGAGATCATTGCATATTCGCCTATTATATTTTGAGAAATCTCAAACCTCTGTGTTAAAAACTTGTAGATTCATAAACAAATCTGAATTAGTCGCTTCACAGAATTATCATTATTTTAGCAAGATTGAATTACATTGTTTAGCCATTCCTGCAGCTAAAAATGATAGAACAATGTCCACTGGTGCAATGGATACATTCCTCTTTACGAAGGTTTCCCTGATATTTTGCCTGCTATCAAACGTACACATTTGGTTTGACGATGGATTTTCATTCAAGGTTGACTTAGCCAGTTAGAAACAACAATAATACATGTGCTCTGCCTCGCTTAATTTTCACAAACGTTTTCAAAATTAGTGTCAAAGATGTAAACGCATAAAAAATGCATCTACTTGTAGAATACCCAAAAATGGCTTCCAAGAAACAAATCTTTTATACTTGGTGCGTTTTTGTGAAGCGAATGGATCGATTTTCGGAATACCAAAAGGTCACAAAATTATTTTCAAAGAATGACAATTTAACTCCCTTCACTGTCATGTTTTATTCTTGACAGCAGATCCGCTTGCTCATTGTCTGATGACGCAATATAAAATGCAAACGTACAAATTTTTCTTTCTTTTGCCCATTACCAAATATTTTTTCCTAACTTATTGTAAGCTGAACGTTGTACACCACCCTTTTAAAAGAATTTGACACTCGTGTAAATTATCTGCTAATAACTCTAACGCTAATTTAACTCCTGATAATTCTTCAT